CCCGGATTGACACCTCTAGGTGGATCTCTAATTTTCAGAGTTTTAGGAGTTTGTTTGGTCCTTAAGGTACAAATGGGCATTTTAAACAGAATCAAATCGAAATCAGAGGCTCCGGTGTGGGTTTTAATATTTGAAAAAAAAATCAAAAACAAAAACAAAAAATGGAATCGAAATCGAAAATTAAGAATCGGTTTGGTCCGATTTGATTCTTGGTTCTTGAATCAAAATAGTGGGTACTCGACTTTGAAATTGAATTATCATTTTCTATAAGTTTTCTTATTTTTCATTAGACCCAATTATCCGACCCAACAAGTTGGAAGTTTGTAAAACCCTACAAGTAGCTAGTATGCAAAGTACAAAATAAGCATTTTAATTAATTAGATTTATTCATTTAGATAATTAAAAGATAGCACTTTCTTTAGTAACTCCTTATCGCACTTTCTTCATTCCTCGCTTAGGCGTCGTATGCAAAGAAAGTCATCTATTAGATATATGTTATTTGAAGGTACAATTTTGTTATATGTACATCAAGTTTGACATTGTATGATGTGCAATTTTTTTTACATTGATTTTAACAATATTTTTTTCAATCAATGACCAAATTTCATCCACACGGGAGAATGTCATCTACAATGTAATCCAAAAATGTCCAACTAGTATAATTTTTTTATGGTATATTTATAGTAGATTAAGAAACTATTGAAATATATATTTGGTGACTTTTTATTCCTATATAACAAACAAGCAAGCAAACCGTAACTTTTGTTTGAATTTTGGAAATCATCTTTCATTCTCATTCTCATTCTCGCCCGTATTCAATTCCCGTGCCCCCTGCAGTCTGTCTTGGGTTCTTGGAACTTGATCATGGAGGAGATTGTTTAGGCCCCGTTTGTTTCTGATTAAAATCAGATTTTAATCTAAATTAAAGTCAAACAATTAATATTAACCACATCTTTTATGAATCTCACAGTTTTTCAACCACACATTTCAAAAATTTATATCATAATCTACTAAAAATCTAATTTAAATACTCACCAAACACTCACTAAATCTTAGCATGTTTGAACCCTTTTTCAAAAAAAAAAAATTAACTGTAACTTTTATCAAATTTTCAATCATATATTTCATCAATTTTTATTGAAATTTCTTACGAATTTGATTTTGAGCAAAAGTAAACGGGACTAACTAGCCAAGTTGTTGGATTGCTTGTTTAGTGCATGAGGGGTTAACTTCTTCAATTCATTGTAATACTAACATAAGCGTACATTCACATTATTCATATGATTAGGAAGTCCATAAACTAAGACCTTGTTAGGTCGAACTTAAAATTTGAATTAAAATTTAAACCCAAGTCTATAATCAATTATAATCACAAATTTTATAAGATCCACAATTTTTTAACTACACATTCCATCGACTTTAATCAAAAAATACTAAAAATCTCATTTTATCTAAACCAGACGGGGCTAATAAAAATAGATAATAAAGCAAAAATTTCTTCTTCCGGGCATAAAATGAGGTGTAGTAACAGCAGGTTGGTGTGTATAATTTAAGGTTCATTTGACAAGGCTTTTAAAAAGTCAAATGCTAATTTGTCTGACTAGAAAAGTTTTTACATGCACAATGTAGTTTCATAAAAAAAACTCTTTTAAATTAAATAGAAATAAAAGTAAAAGCAAAAATCTTATCAAACGGACCATTTTTATAAGCCATTGGAAGATTTTAAAGTAGGGGGTGGGTAGCACTATATCTAAGCAAAAACATCCCAATGTAGAGGGCTATTCGGTTTGTGTGAGAACGCAAAAACTAAGGACGATTCGATGTTATA